CATCCATCCATCCATCCATCCATCCATCCATCCATCCATCCATCCATCCATCCATCCATCCATTATCTTTTACCCGCTTCTTCCTTTTCAGGTCGTGGGGGTCACTGGTGCCCATGTCCAGCTATCACTATGCGAGTGGCAGGGGACACCCTGCAGGTCTCCAGTCCATCACAGAGCCACATACACCAACGAGACAAACAAACATTCACTCTCTCACTCACACCTAGGGACAATTTACAGTTACCAATCAGCCTAACATGCATGTTTTTGATCTGTGGGAGGAAACCGGAGTACCCGGAGAAAACCCATGCATGCACGGAGAAAACATGCAAACTCAACCCTAAAAGGCCCCCGGCTCTACTGCACCACTGTGCTGCCCGCCCTGCATATTCAAAGCAGTAACTCCCATCCTCAGTTTACTATTAAAGTCGGTCATAAAGTCTTTGCACATGTAAAAACCGTTAATGGACATGTTAAAAAGTTTTCACTGAATATACATATAATATGCATCAGTGAAAAGAAAAGTCCCGCAGCTGCTGAAACAGAATTTATTCACAGATCCAACCTCTGACACATAGTTTCTGAGCAGAGCTGTGGAGCTCACATGACCTTAAGGCTGACATTTAAATTGTTTTTTTACCTAATCTATTACAGAAACTGACTGACCAGATTAAGAAACATAACTGAATGAACTCTGACAACAAAACTAACCACATAAAGGACAGGAGGATTAGTGTCACTAACACCCCACTGACATTTGTTTATTTACCCACTACTAGTGTGGCTTAGACATGACAAAGACGCATCTAATTTTGCTTAAGATAAGATAGAACTTTCCACCTTTTATTTGTTCTATTTTTTGATCTCCAAGATCTTCAATAGTACAGAGCAGAACTAGAAGGCTGTTTTACAAAATGCTGATAAAGAATAATCCTTAAAATTGAGCAATTCTGCTCCATGCATTACCCTCACAGAAGTGAGGTCTGTCAGTAAAAGACACACATTTGAACTGGAAACTTATTTGTGTGCCTACATAATTTAAAATGGAAAACATGTAAGACAAAACACTATGAAAGAGAAAAAACACTGCTCTGTTTATTAACTCATGCTCCTCCTGAAAGCACAGACTTTTGCACCACTACATTTAAAACAATGAAGTTTTACTAAGGCTTGTGTAAATCAGATACTCCTCAAAGTGAATGTCGTACTCACTGGCTGTGGCTGCTCGGCAATGCAGCAGCTGAAACAAACCCAGAACTCTGTCATTCTGAGGCAGATGAAGAAGCCACAACAGTTTCCTCTCTCAGTTCAGACGTCTCTCTGCGTCTGTCTTCCTGTTCAGGGCTGCCAGAGTCGCAAACATGCACCGGAAATGGCTGACAAATAGGCCACTAGTTTCTCAGCAGTGAAATGTTGGCACAAGAGCTGTTCCACATAAAACTGGGCAGCACACACCTGTTGATACAGTGAAGAAGAAGACAAGTCTCTTAATGTAACTTAGACACACACTGTAGTGGACATTATTACAAACAATTACCATGAGAATGAGAACTTGTGAGCACTTGTACCACATTAACAGCTAACCAGCTCTATATCTATCCAAAAGAGAAGTTTTAACAAACGAGAAAAAGCCACCCACTGTCTTTTACTTTTTTAGTTTCTCTCATACTCTGTGTGACTGATGCAGCAATCTGAGGTAACTTGGGGATCAGAACCAACACTTCACTTCAATATTCAAACATACATGTTTCATTTAGCTTGGTTTACACATTAAAATGATTAGATCTCAAATAAATAAAAAAACTTACAAAAAAGTATTATGTCTCAACAAAAGATTTTCGTCCTCTATAAAACAGGGTGTATAACAGTGTCATCTTTACTTGTAATGAGTATTTTCATCTGATTTTAGGTGCTCAGTTGAGCATAGGAGCATTATTTAATTCTCTAAATGCCTCCATTTGCATAGTAAGGTACCTATTTCAATGAACAAGCCCCTAGAGCTAAATTTATAAAGAGGCTTATCTAACAGGGTGGACAGAAACTGAAAATGTATGGAGAAAGACAAAGTAAATGAGATTGTCTTTGTTGTTACCACATAACATTCTGTGATTGAGGACTACTACACATCCTTAAATGTACAGGTGTGCTTATAAACTTGGGCTTTTCTCCCCTAAAATGGTCAATTTTTTTTCTGGATTATCAAAGCACTAGGAAATTGGCTGCATAAAGCAAAAATGTAAGTTTGACAGGTGCTTTTATGATTTATAAAAGTGCAGCACATTAAAAAAAATGAAAAAGGCAGTCAAAAACTTACAGAAATGTGTGTTTTACAGGGGGTTGGAGTTTAACATTTTCAGTTTTGGGGATGTGAAATACCTCGGATATAACAAGGAACTTGCTCACCCTCAAGGTGTTTCAGAGCTACCAGAAGAATGCATAAGAAAAAAAAAGTTTGGGACAGTCAAAGAACACACTGGTTTGCCCTGAATGACCAAACAAATAGTTTTAGGTTGTTCTTATACGTAGCACCACAGGCCTGTCAAGACATTTCGGTGCCTTGAAACAACAATAAAACATTTACCTGGCTGTCAAAAACATCTAACGTCTCATGAAAATAAAATGGACTTGTAGGAAGTTTAAAACATTTTACGAATTATTATTTTGTGGGGTTTACAATAAATATACTGGCATACAGAAGAAACTTAAAGTGAGACACGTTATTTTAAAGACGTGGTCATGTGTGGAGGCGATGTGCTGATAAACCAGTTTTGCCGAACATAAGAAACACACAGTAAGTCATACCAACAGCATTTGCACCTACTTCCATGTTTATAATTTTGAAAATCTATTTAAACATTAGAATACAGGTAATCAGATATTGTAATTTAAAATTATTTTGTGTATAGGTCAGTAGCACTATTTCGAAACCAGATCAGACATTATTGCTGCTAAACAAGAAGTGATAAGAGGATCAAATGTAAAGAGTTTGCTGACAAAGTTGCTCTTCCCAATTTGTGTTACTGACTCTGCAGCTGACACATCGCTGACATTGAACTGATGTACCCTCAGTGCACAAGATCCCCATACTGTCAACTAGCTGAGGAACAGCACGGACATGTTGACTTTACTGACAAGTAAAAACCTTAAAAGGATTACTGTCACTACCTCTAAACTTAGATTACACAAGGTGAATGGTATTTACAAACAAATGGGCGTTATATAACTTCGTTTCGCTGCGGCAAAGAAGACCGGTCTTCTTCAAGAGCCGAACTCACAGCAGTTCGTCATTAACACTCATGGAATGCCACCTTTTTATTTTTCCTAACTATGAGGCTTTAATACATATCAAAAACTGCCTCCAGACAACCAGCGTTAGATCTGTCAGCTCAGCTGTTACTTTAGTTAGCTCAAAAAGCTAACCTTGTTAGCAACGGCAGATTTTACCTCACTGACAGCTAGCCGACCAAGCTAACAGTCAGTTTCCGAGCTCTTAAAGACTATAAAAATAAACAAACATAACACGTAAAAATATGTACACTCGTGGATAAGTTTCTAAATGAGTAGTAAACATTTTTTCCTGTTTCAGTAGATTTTTTTTAGAAGAATAAACTCACCAGAAGGTGGCCGGGAGGGAGACGTACACGGTCGACTGAAGGCTGAGAAAAATGCACCGAAAAGAAATCAGGAAATGACTCTTCAGTCAACTTCCGGTTTAAACTGTGACGACTTCCGTTCAGATCCACGTTTTTACCTTTCTCGCGCTGCAGTTATTTCTTAGCTTAAAATAAGATTTTTAAAATCCTAAACATGAGACCATTAACAGAGGAGGAGACGAAAATAATGTTTGAGAAGCTGTCAAAGTAGTAAGTGAGCTTAAATTGTTCTTATTGTCCTGAAAAGACAAATTTCACTAATCGGTATTAGCATGTGTGCTAGCTTGTGTGATATTTATCATCATGCATTTGTCTCACAGCATCGGAGAAAACATAAAACTTCTCGTGGACCGGCCTGACGGTACCTACTGCTTCAGGCTACACCAGGACCGTGTTTACTATATGAGGTATAATTTCAGACATAAAATAATAATAGTTTTGGTGTTTTTTTATTTTGTTTTAATCACTAAATCAAAGCTCATCCAGCATTATTTTCCGTCCACAGTGATAAAATCCTGAAGTTGGCTACAAACTTCTCCAGGGATAAGCTCATTTCTGTAGGTACTTGCTTTGGGAAATTTACAAAAACCAAAAAGTTCCGCCTGCACATCACAGCACTGGATTTCTTGGCGCCCTATGCAAAGGTACTTTACATTTTTGCACTTCTGCAAAGTAGCTCTTACCAAGTCAACAATATCCCTCTGTGTTGAATTGCTGCTGCACCTTTGGATCATATGCCACAAAGTTTTTCCAAACACACAGTTATTTGCTGTGATACATAGATTAAAGTTCACAGTTACAGATTTTTGCCATATGCCAGGATAATGCATGTTAACAACTTTAAGTATTTCCATCCATCATTCTTTTTTTAATACTTCTCTATTGGGGTGGGGGGGACTGGTGCCTATATCTTAGTGGTCAAGACAAGAGACAGGGTACACCCTGGACAGGTCAAAAGTGGATGAGACAGCCAACCATTCATTTGCTGTCTCACATCTAGTGATAATTTATTTCACCATTTAACATAAGACCTATGTCTGTGAGGAAAATGGTAGTTCACAGAGAATCCCACACATGCATGGCAGGGAACATACTCCACACAGAAAAGCTCCAGCTTGATTGTGAATCTGCAACCTTGCTGTGAGGTGACAGCTCCAAACTGCTCTTTTTATGTACTGTCTTTTTTTTTTTTTTTTTACAATTATAAGCATTAGTGTGTGCTTTAAAATGACATCTATTTCCTGTTTCAGTAGTGAAACATACCAGTGAGCGGTGTTTATTCTGTGCTTTAATCAAAGAAGCTTTATGAGATATTTTATTCCAAAAACAACCTTAGGTTGCCATAGCTAGATATACAGTACAGCTGTTTGACAAAATAGTTTTTGTTTACAAATGTGAATTGAAGGTGGGTCACACCACCAGAAGTCTTCATGTGCTCCTTAAAATGGTGTATTTACAGTTGATAGACATTTTATATACTGCAGTCCTAAATACTATGGACGGTAGCGTTAATAGTGCTTGTACATGTTTCTGCACAAGAATGCTTCAACATTAGAATGAGTGAAAGTCTTTTAATAACCTTTACACCACCAGCACAAGTTCACGTATATCTTTTCGTAGTGTTATTATTTGAAATTACTGATATGTCATTACATTGAACTCATGCATGTATAAATAACATGAAAATATCATGTCTTTAGTTCAAGGTGTGGGTGAAACCTGGAGCAGAGCAGTCTTTCCTGTATGGAAACCACGTGCTAAAATCTGGCCTTGGCAGAATTACTGAAAATACTATGCAGTATCAAGGAATTGTGGTTTACTCCATGGCTGATGTACCTTTGGTGAGTAAAAGACATTACAACCTGTACTGTAGGTAATTTTGAACAGTGACACTTTTAATGTAATCTTAGGTACTTACCAAAACAAGGACGTTTTGAAATGTTATTAGTTTATTATACAGAGTCCTCTTTTATTACAGGCATGATAGTTTTACATGTTCTATGCAAATTATAACCCTTAAGAATTGAAAACCTTTATTAGGGTTAGTCAAGAATCAATTTTAAGAGTCAGACCAGTTCAGTGACAGCATTCTTTGGACAGGTGAAGAAAGATCTACCTGGACCAGAATGACTGGAAAAGCCAGTGCCTTTAGGATTGCATGGTTTATAATAAAACTGGGTCACTTGAGTTGATCAAATTTGTAACCAAATTAAAATAAATTTTAGGTGTGCGGCTGATTTATTGGCCCCGATTTCCCAAAATTAAGGAAATCGTCCGATACTTGCACAAGAAACAGATTTTACAGAGTTTTTTATGTTTTAACAATTGTCTGAACTTCATTTATTTCAGAGCACTACCTCATGGTCAGTTAAAACAAGTTTGTATTGTTTCTAGGATATTGTTCAAGGGTATGTTTTTCAATAAAATAATGTTGGAAAATTGAAGGTGCATTGTGACTTTATAACACCTGACAGTGTCGCTTATATAACAAAATCAGTATCGGACAAAATCGGAATCGGCAGGTCACTTTTTAGAAATCGGCGATTGGCCAGAAAACTGCAATCGGTGCACCCCTAATAAAATGAGGTTTTATGTACACTCTGATTAGTCTAAAAAAGTTCAGTCAGGTCCTCTAGACATTCAAAAAACAAAACAAAAAAAAAAAAGTAGAAACGTTTTGTCTTTCATCTGAAAGACTTCTTCAGTCTGACTTTGAAAAAACGATCCATTGTTAGGCTGATGGTCCTTGATCATGTGAGCAGCTGGTTTTGTCTGTCAGCAGCAAACTGGTTGATCCACTGTGAGAAGGTGCTATTTATAAGATTGAGCTGAATACAGCGCCTCATACTGAAGAAGTCTTTTGGATGAAAGACCAAATGTTTCTACATTTTTTTTGTTTTGTTTTTTGAACATCCAGAGGACCAGACTGAACTTGATTTTTCGACCTGGATTATTGAGCATGCATCAGGATACTCTTGATTAGTGTTGGTAAGAAGTGTGCTTCCTGATACTTGTAATAACGTTCTGCTAGGAAAAACTAGGAAAGCATCACTTCAGAGGATTTATTGATAATGCCAAATCAGACACCACTCTATTTGTAAAACAAAATTATATATAAAAAAGATATACTGGTGTCCCTGAAAAAAGGGTCTACAGTCTAAAAGAGCTAAATGTTTCTGCAAATATAGTTAGCAAAAGAGGAGCTATGAATAGTTTTTTTTTTTTTCTTCTTCAGGGGTTTGGAGTGGCAGCCAAGTCAACCCAGGAGTGTCGGCGTGTGGATCCCATGTCCATTGTGGTGTTCCACCAGGCTGATGTAGGAGAGTTCATAAGGAATGAGGACACACTGACATAAAGACACTCTATGGACAGTTTTTTTTTTCCTCTCACAAATTCACCAATTTTTTTGGCAGCGGTTTTGTCAGATTTGTTCACTTCTCACAACTCTGTGGGTGATTTGAAGCACCTTCTTATGAAGGCTTTGTTTTATCTGGACAGTCCCAGGACTGAAGTAAAGAACTAACGTTAAAACTTTTTATTGCTGACCTCTGGAACATTTAAAATTAATTGCATTATTTTGTATCAATTATTGTCCAAATAAATGGGTGTATTTTTGTCTAGATTTAATTTTTCTTCTTAAAACATGCATTTTATAGAATTCAACTTTTAATTTGGTTGCAAGTATAAATTGCATGTAGTTTTGTCCCTCACAAGATAGCTAAATGGTTATTAATCAGCATAAATCCCATGTCCTTGAAAACTATATATTCATGTTCCAACACATTCATCTAAAGTTTGTACAAATGTGGAATTTTGGTATAATCCTAGTTTCCAGGCTAGACTATAAAACACGTTTATAGACTATTCAGTATTAAATTTTCTAAAATATATATGCACCAGTAAATTACTAGTTGTTATAAGTCAGCCCAGTTTAAAGCAACGTTTTATTCGACCAAATGGAAGCACAGCTTTACAAAATGGACATCAAGTTGCATTGAAAGACTTTGAACTTTGTAATAAAAGTATATGAACTCCTTTGCAAAATAAGTGTTTTTAATTTTAGACATTTCTCTTGTGTACAGCGGTTTTACAGGGCATTTGAAGCATCCAGATTAAGAAAGTAATGAACACCATATGTTAAACTAAACTAGGCTGTACACGACGACAAACTTAAATCAGAGAATCTTGATCCTGAAAAGTAAAACACAGAATGAGCCTTGCATCAAATCAGGGACATAAGGCCAACTTAGTTTCTGACATAATGACACAGAAACAAGACATCCTTGTGAAGTAGGCAACATTCCCTCTAGGTTATCCACCTACTATTGTTTTGATTGTTAAAAAGGCAACAACCTATAACAAAAAATATATCAAAATTATTCATTTTTTTAAATAACTGAAAATAGCTTAGAATGAAAAAAAATAAACAGAACAGAGTGTAATCTTCAAAAAACTTAGACCAAGTTCAATTTTTTCATGGTTCTCCATCGATCTTTCAGGTTCACATTTGTTCGATCTTTAAAGGAGTAATAAGACTGAATCTTGCTCCAGTTTCCCTCCCCAAAGGTCTTCACCCCATCTTTTAAATTCTGTGTCTCGCTCTCAGTCCACATCTGCAAAAACAGAAAAATACAGATTTGTTAGCTCTTTGCTGCTCTAAAAAAAAGTCAACAGTTCTGGCACTTTACTGTATTGCCATCAATGCTGTTTACTGATGCTAAGGAATAATGTAATATTTGTCTCTGTGGTGCTTTAATTGACAGCAAGAACTAATAAAATGCCAGCGAAACAGAGTTGAATTTACATCATCAAGCTTTATGGAATGTGGATAAAGAGAAAAACTGCCTAAACATCTAAACACAACATAATTCCATTAGATTTACAAAAGATGTGATGAATATTAATTGTACAGACAATTCCAGAGCAAACACCTCTACACTCTCACCCACAGAAGGGATAACTTGAAAAGAGAAATGCCAATTCAAAGATGAGAACTCTGTTCTTTTCACACAGGAAAAGAGTTTTATTTTATGAAGACATTTTTATTTTTTAACTGAATCAAATTTATAGAGCCAAATGCCACATACATGTTGGGGGAGTGTTTTGGTTTATGCTACTTGAAAAATAAGCCAGAAACTTAAACAAATCTGGGCATGTCTTGCAAGAAAAAGTAAAGCAAGGTAGATGAACCACAACATGGTACAGCTGGTTTCCTAAAATAAATGTGAACGTAAAGCTAGTTAATTATTTTCTTTAAGCATTTGGATAGTGCAAATCCTAGGAGCAGTCACTCTGTGCTTACCCTCTTCCTGGTTCTTGATGAGTTGATGCTTAACCCTTAAGTAAACATAAAACAAGTTACATACATCTAAACATTTTTACAACAAAACACAGGAAACCAAATACATGTATTTATTTGAGCGTAATTACTGTTGTTTTTAGAAGAGTTGAAATCAGACTCTTCACTCCATGTGTCTTTGGACTCCTTTGCATTTTTAACCATTTCATTCCTGTAAATGTGATAAATGAGATCAAACAAGTCACATTTTATGATCAAGAGATGCTACACCTCATATTAATCATAAAGCAATTTTAGTGCTTAATAATTTTCAACAGTCCAGTAGCTGATACTTGGCTGAAGCTGCAGGTGTTTTTTTCTCACCATTTTGAACGTGAGGGGTCCAAGGCTCGTGTGACCTTGCGTGGAGTGGAGCTGCGTTTAGAAACGGGACGAGAGGACACAGAGGGCAAGCTGTCCAAAGAAGAGTCTGAGATATGACAGTCTTCAATGCCATCTGGATTGCTGTGTAAAGCAAAAGTTTGTCACATTTATAAACCATCATTTAAGAAATGAATCAAATGAATGAATGAATTATGAAATGAATTAATTATTAAATGAATTGTGTATTTACACTCTCTTGATCGGAGAACATGACGAAAGTGGTTCGGGTGGCCTCTGTTCGGGAGTTCTGCAGGGGGTCTGCTGCTTCTCCAGCTCATTCTCACTTTCAGATGATGTGAAGACTAATCTACTGGACTTTCTAAAATAAAAACAAAAAGTTAAGCAAATCATTACTTTGAAAATTACTATTTTCTGACTGAAACTCTTGAATCCATCTGAATGGATTAACATCACTGAACATTTTCAGTTGCATACAGTCCTCAATCAACAGGTCTGCTGCCAAAAACAGAAGCCTTCAATTTAAACACTCGAGGGTTTAGCTCTACTGGTTTGGGCAGTCACTGATCTAAATTAAATTACACAATTAAATTCAAACGTACAACAAAGTAAAAAACTAAGGAGATGGAGAAAACATGCTGAGCTGGTCACTCAAACATCACATTAGCTATACAGGAGTAGTCTCTCGCTACGTCGCGGTTCGCAAACTCACTTTCTCGGGTTTTCAACGACTGTCAACTTTAATATTACGTGATTGGGACGGTACAGGATAAAAAGTTAACAGGAAAAAAAATAATTCGGACAGGCGCCGCCATTTCCTAGTTTTCCTTCAATAAGCCTATAATGTAATGCCAGTCAAAAGAACTACACTACCCAGAAGCCAACAGTGCTTCCAGACACTGCTTTCTGCAGAAATGGAAGGAACGTTTTGCAACACAAATCTACACTATCTATTAAGATCACAGAACTGGCAGGAAAGTCGTAAATAATCCTGAAGCTTCCTGAAGCTCAATTATCCACGTGCACATCAACCTGGACGGGGCGCTGGGCTTCATCACTGCAGGGTATGTCTGCAGAACCAGAACCGAGCCCAACCGGAACAGAGCTGGTGAGTAAAATTTTGCAGCACTGTACAGTACATATATGCATGTTGTTAAAATTACGTAGGTTTAAGAGTTTAGAACATTGCAAGAGTGTGGGAAGGGTTTATAAATACATTTAAATACCAAAATAAATATGGCGTTCCTACTTCATGGTTTTTCACCCATCGTGGTGGTGTGTGGAATGTAACCCCCGTGATAATCGAGGGACTACTGTAAACAAGTTTTCTAACTTGTATACAATGTATTCAAGAATTAGCCATGACTTCTGTTCCATAATCTGGAAAACACTGAATAAGTTTGGTAAATATTAGTCTGGCAATCGTGTAACATTGCGTATGTGGGTGAACTGCAGCGTAACTGTGTGAGGAAGTACTGGACTTGCCTGAATGATTTGTTGGGTCGGTCATGGGGGTCTTCATCATTCATTTTATTATTTCCAACTGATTCAAGGGAATCCTCATCATGGTCCGCAGAGCACTCTGCCAAGCTACTTGAAGCTCTGTTTAAGAATGCAACAATACCAGCAGATCCAGAAAACACAGGCGTTATTGGACAAAATTATAAAAGTGATAGCTGAAGGCAGCAGTTTGTTTCTGTGGAGCTGAACTTACCTGCTCCTTCTGGGGTACCTCCGTGCAGGCATAGGTATGATCACTTCTTTGTCTGTAACTGGGCATAGCATATTGTTGAGATCATTTCTACTGGAAACAGTTTGAGGTGTCTGATGTAATTCCACTTCAGTTTCCAATTCGTCCACAGCCATTGTGCACAGCGAGCTTGGCTGACTGTCGGGTTCAGTCACCAGCCGAGGCACAGTGTAAAGTGACAGTGAACCCGTCTGTGTTTGAGGATCTGTGTTTGACTGTGGAGGCTGGTCTGCTGGGGAAGCTTCTATGGGGCTGTGTGAGTCCCTCTGAAATAGCTGGGTTTGTTCTGCGTTCAGATTTGCGTCCCTCGTAGGATCAGGTAGGTGCTCCAGACAAATCTCATTTTCCTGTGCCTCCATTTCCACTTCTTGTTTCAACTGAGCAAACGTCTTTCCACCCGAACCTTCAGCCAGGGTAGTGTAGGCTACTTCTAGTCTGACCCTCTGGATAACTACAGGTTTACTGAATGACACACACACACACAAAAGGCAAAATGTAAACAATGTTAATTTGTGCCTAAAAGTACTATTATATCATAGTAAATGTGTCTGCTATTGCTAATGGTGGACATCATGGCATTAATCAATCTAACAGCTGCTGGGCTTTGTTTCAATATTGGGACGAATAGCAGGATGTACGGTGGGGCAAAAAAGTATTTAGTCAGCCACTGATTGTGCAAGTTCTCCTACTTAGAAAGAGGAGAGGTCTGTAATTTTCATTATTTATTTATTAATCTTTATTTAACCAGGCAAATTCCATTGAGATCACAGATCTCTTTTGCAAGGGAGGCCTGGGCCTGAAGGCAGCCAATGCATGTTTTTGGTCTGTTGGAGGAAACTGGAGTACCTGGAGAAAACCCACGCAAGCACGAGAAGAGCATGCAAACTCCACACAGAAAGACCTCAGGTCCAACCAGGGATTGAACCCAGGACCTTCTTGCTGTGAGGAACCAGTGCTAACCACTGAGCCGTTGTGCTGCCAGTCATAGGTACACGTCCAACTATGAGACCAAATGAGGAGGAAAAAAAAAATAATCCTGGAGATCACATTGTAGGATTTTGAAATAATTTATCTGTAAATTATGGTGGAAAATAAGTATTTGGTCAATAACATAAAGCTCAGCTCAGTACTTTGTAACATAACCATTGTTGGCAATAACAGAGGTCAAACGTTTCCTGTAAGTCTTCACCAGGTTTGCACACACTTTAGCTCGTATTTTGGCCCATTCCTTCCTCTAGAGCAGTGATGTTTTGGCCGGGCAAAATGGACTTTCAACTCCCTCTACAAATTTTCTATGGGGTTGAGGTCTGGAGACTGGCTAGGCCACTCCAGGATCTTGAAATGCTTTTTACGGAGCCACTACTTCGTTGCCTGAGCAGTGTGTTTGGGCTCATTGTAATGCTGGAAGACCCAGCCACGTTCCATCTTCAATGCTCTCACTGATGGAAGGTTTTGGCTTAACATCTCATGATACATGGCCCCGTTCATTCTTCCCTTAACACGGATCAGTCCTGTCCCCTTTGCACAAAAACAGCCCCAAAGCATGATGTTTCCACCCCCATGCTTCACAGTTGGTATGGTGTTCTTGGGATGCAACTCAGCATTCTTCCTCCAAACATGACAAGTTGACTTTTTACCAAAAAGTTCTGTTTTGATTTCATCTGACCACATGATATTCTCCCAGTCCTCTTCTGGATCATCCATATGCTCTCTAAAAAACTTCAGACGGGCCTGGACATGTAGTGGCTTAAGCAGGGGGACACGGCTGGCACTGCAGGATTCGAGTCCCTCTCGGACTTGGGTGTTACTGATGGTAGCCTTTGTTACTTTGATCCAAGCTCTCTGCAGGTCATTCATCAGGTCCCTCCGTGTAGTTCTGGAATTTTTGCGCACCGTTCTCGTGATCAAAACAGTCTATGCTCAATAATCCAAGTATACAATCCAACAATTTTCAGTCAGGTCATCTGGACAGTTTCTTTTTTGCTGAAACGTTTCACCTTCTATCCGGAAGGCTTCATCAGTCAAGGAAACACACAACACAAAACTGATTCTTCCCCCAACAGCTTACTCCAAAGTGGAACAAACCAGTTCTGTTGGTGCTGAGATGGTGTCTTTGGCACGACCCCTCCTCTTGTGCCGGCCCCCTTCCTCATTCTCATGATCATTTTGACCCCACAAGATGAGATTTTGCATGGGACCCCAGATCGAGGGAGATTATCAATAGTCTTCCATTCCATTTTCTTAGAATTGCTCCTACAGTTTATTCACACCATCCTGCTTGCCTGTTGTAGATTCACTCTTCCCAGCCTGATGCAGGTCTACAATTTTCTTCCTGGTGTCCTTCGATGGCTCTTTGGTCTTCACCATGGATGAGTTTGGAGTCTGACTGTTTGAGGATGTGGACAGGTGTCTTTTATACAGATAACAAGGTCAAAGAGGTGCCCTTAATACAGGAAACAAGTGGTGGACAGAAAAGCTTTAAAATAAGTTACAGGTCTGTGAGAGACAGACATCTTGCTTGTTTGTGATTGACAAAATACTTATTTTCCGCCATAATTTACAAATAAATTATTTTAAAATCCTACAATGTTATTTCCTGGATTTTTTCCCCCTCATTTTGTCTCTCATAGTTGAAATGTATATATGATGAAAATTACAGACCTCTCTCATCTTTCTAAGTAGAACTTGAACAATCAGTGGCTGACTAAATACTTATTTGCCCCACTGTGACATAGGTTCATATGTTCATTTTGATATTAAGACAAGAACTCTCCATTTTCTGTCTCCCAAACTCCTCTTCAGTGTTTGACTCAGTGCAGTGAGATGTGGTAACACGAGTAGAAACATTTGTGTCAGAATTTCAAACAGTTACCTCCCTATAACCACAGCTGCAACAAGCTACTGTTGAGATGGGTCAAAACCAGCATGCCATGTGGTCTTTGGTGACAATAAAGCTGTATTGACTGTGGAAATGTTTTGCAGAGGGAGAGCTTACCGAAATTTAAGATGAACTGTGTTTTTAGGTAAAGAGCAGGAAGAGCTGGGTTGGTTTTGCTCATCAGTCTCAAAAGGTATGTCATCTGGCTCCAAACGTCTTTTATCAACAAGACTCTTTGCAGCCTGACGCACACGCAAACACACACAATTAAACGTGTACTCGTTCAACAATTAAAAAAAAAAAAGATCTGTGATGAAAACACATTTTATTTGCATTTTAATCAAAACATATATATGCTATGAACTTGTTTTAAATGGCAGTGAGCTTTACTTGTTTTCCAAGTGAATCATTTACAAAACATAAAGAGACTATTTAATTTACAGATTGTATACCTTGTAAAGAAAGGGATCAGTGAATGACCAGAGCCTCAGACAGAAATCCAGCATCTCCTCCTTGAAGCTTTGAAAGTTAATTTTCTCAATAACCTCATGTGCTTTATTCTTTTGATGGATGAGGTTCATGAAGGTAATCCTCTACGGAAGAGAAATTAATTGAATATCAAGTTCAAGTATCTTTGCTGTCATAAACATCACATGTGGTACATGAGGTGGAACAAAATTGTATACTCAGGGTCCCAGTTACACCCAAAAATAGCAAAAATATAAAAAGGAACAGTATATAAGGATCCAAGACATAGGCTAAACAAACGCTAAACATTACGCTAAAAGATCTAAGATGTACGCTAAACACTAATTATGTAAAATAATACGGTATATTAAACAGCAGCACGAACATGAGTCTGTAGTGAGTAGATGGGTATGAATGAATACAGCAGCAGGAGATCAGCAGCATGGATAATCAGCAGCACAGATAAGTCACATATCACCAATTAAAGTGGCACTACAGTGATTTTTCTGGTTAGGGATTTATGAATCTAACAGCTTCAGGGTAGAAGCTGTTCCTCAGTCTAGTGGTTTTACACTTAATGCTCCTCAACCTCCTGCCTGAGGGGAGTAGGGCAAAGAGTGTGTGTGCTGGGTGAGTGGGGTCCTTCATGATGCAGGTGGCTCTCTTCCTGCATCTGGAGGTGTCGATGTCTGTTACGGTGGGGAGGTTGACTCCCAACAGTCTTCTGTGCAGCCTTCACCACTCTCTGCAAAGCTTTTCTTTCTGCAGCTGTGCATTTGAATTTACTATTTTAGATTTGATATCAGTTAGCTCATCTCTTTCAAGAGAACTTTTCCAGCATTTTCCAAACTATAATAGTTCCGATTGCCATCAGCTGCAGGTTATTTATTGACACTTTATACCTAATCAACACAACCTCGCTTGTAAAAAGTGCTCACACTGCATAGTGCATACAATACTGTAGGTCAAAATACCTAAACACTGAGCCATGGATTTACTTTTTACATACAAGCCTCCTTACACGATGACAGGAAAATATAATTTTTTAAATTATTATGTGCAGCTATTAATTATACTGTAGTTGTAAATACAAAGCGTGCAAAATGTTGATTATAAAGGACTTACCTTGCCAGTCACTGATCTGGGAAAGTACTGATTGAGTGCTTCTTTTGCTTTTTCAAATTGGTCGTTCTTGATGAAAGTTCCCACAATCTAAAGACAGAAACATTTGTTAGGCTTTTAATTCAGAGCATAAATACTGCTTGGGATTTCTTACAGCAAACATGCATTAACACCCCGAACAAGCTCGTTATTCCCCACGTAACCAATCAAATTCTATAAAACTCTTTAATGTAAACTCCAATAACAAAAGTTTCAATGTGAAAAATAGACTTTTTTTTTCTTGTTTTGTGCATTTGTGCTCAACAAGCACAGATTTACGCTACCTTTAAACTTTACTTCATAGGCTCTGATTTAATAATTAAGTGAACTGAATTTTTATTGCACATTGAAGCAACAGCTCAACAAGTACATAAACTGAATGCATTAAAAGCTCAAAACACTTACCATCTCTTTAAGTGACGTTAATACATTCCCACAATCACACTGTGGAAGACTAAATCTCTTGGTCATCGTTTCCAGCAAACGTAAGGCTAATTCCAGAGGAGTTTTATTCTGATCACATTCAAACGACCCATCTACAATCAGACACATCGCTAATCATCAACCCATAAAGATCTCTGACCCAGAAAAAGAATTGTTTAGCTTTGGTTAAACACATTTTACAGTGTGTAGAAAAAGTGGGAGAAAAATGACCAACATTTTTGACTGAACATTACGATTACCTTAAAAATGTGTTTAATCTTTTCATTTACACAACGCAACAAATTGAACACCCTTAAGGTAGTTGGTTGCACAGATGCTATACATGTCACAAATAAACATATATATGTAAAAAATAAAAATAAAGATCTTACCAAGATTTTCAGCATCTCTTATAAGTGACAGAAACTGAAAGAGTCTAACTTTTAGAGGCAAGTCGTCGCTGAGCTCCATCTGACGACCAAAAATACCTAAGGGGGAAAAATGCTCAGTAATTCACATTCATAAAGGACCTCTCAGTCTTCTGTTTACTTCTTTTTTTTTTTTTTTTAAATCAATCTAAGGTTGCTCAAATGCAAAATATAACTCAAAGCAAAACTCTGGTCATTTGAACACAAAAATGCTCACAGTTGACATAAATATGGGAAGTAAATGGTAAATGCATCAGTTGAGATCTACTTTTTTTTTTTTTTAACAAAACAGCTTTTGACTGCATGACCTGAAATCAGCTTTTTTATTCTTAAAAAACAAAAACAAACAAACAAACAAACAAAAAGTTGTAATGTCAGCTAAATGCAATTCTGAGGCTGCTGGTTGCATCAGAAAAAGCATCTGGCATAAAACAACGGCTAAATCTTTTATGCGAGAGTTCACATGCTCCGGCAGCCACTGCAGAAGGGAGCAGCCGAAAGACACTTTTAGAAGTCAGTAGTCAAATGCAGATATACGCAGATCAACTGCACATAGGTATATTTAAAGACTGCACTGTTTTAGGTGGATACATTTATAAGTTGTGTGCAGCAACAACAGGTTGTTTATCATAAGCAGCGTCTTAATAAACAGCGCTGAAGAAAACACGACTGCGATGTGTCCACCTAAACACGGCTAGTATATTCTTTAGTATTTTTCATAAAACCGCACCAGACAATTCTTAAAATGTATTACAAATTCTCCAAAATCAAGTAGGCTTAAATAGTAGCTTATAATGTCTATTTTATCTACACACATATTTAGGACTGTGCAATATTAGGAACACATGCAATTTCAATATTAATACAGAATACTGCTTTGATGTTCTGTCATTCCGATGTTTACAGCAAGCTCCATGTGTGGGTTGTGACATTTCGGAGTGCAGATCTATCTGATCGCCAATATATCTACAAAAAAGTTCAATCAAGTCATCTGGAAAAATCTGTCCAGATGATTTGATTTGACGTTTTTGTGATTTATTAACCTGGATGATTGAGCTTACATCAGGATCTTTTAGGATGCAGTTTGTGGTTGTTGTTTTTTTTCCTCTTTGCACTATTGAAGCGTAATGTGCTGCAAAAGAAGGCAACAAAAGCAAATGGTGTATAATGGTGCTTTTTTGGGACTTGATTTCTGACAGACCAATGAGTTTTGGGCAAACAGTAAATCATCTGAGCACAAGATTCAATTATTTAGTCTATTATCAGGTTTAGTTGCATGTTTTTCTTTACATTAAATCAAGTACTTTGTCATATAATAATAGGTAGAAAATGTTCTGTCTGTTGTTTAGGCCTGCTATTTTTTCCTCATCTTAAAAATTCCAAATAAAACAGATTATGGTACGATTTATTAGATCTGGTGCAAATTTGTCATATATATATATATATATATATATATATATATATATATATATATATAAAATTGTATTAAAGGAATCTGGTGTGTCGCATCAGTGATCAGTCAATATAACGCAATTTTAAATCGGTTCTTTTCAAACAGACACGTCACAGTTTCTTGCTTTGAGTTGGTTAACTTTTTAAACATCTGAATAACTACTAGACAACGGTAAAATCAAACAAATAAAATTATTCTTGGGTATTTCTAGGAAACAAAAAAACTGCCTCGTGTTTAAGCTAACACGATGAATAATGCCTAAAAAACAGCATGCTAGGTTAAAGAGTGTATTAAATACAAATTTAAACGCTTTAGTCCTAGGTAAACTTGATGAGCTCAAACGTTTCGCGATGAATCAGTCCTCCCCCAGAAGTAATCCGAGAAGTTTAAAAAAATAAATAAAATCAACTTACCATCAAGAACATTTGAAATAGCACTAAAGTCTGTGTACTGCTCGTTTTTAAAGAACTCCACCCCCAAGGATAAATAATAGTTTACTATCCATCGGTTGACTACACGTTCAACGTTAATTAAATCGTTGTTTACGCTTTCTTTTGCCGCCATGGTCATATCTGCTGCTGCAGCTGCTCCTCCTACTTTTTCTTCTTCGTCTGTTCATCTCTTCTTCTTCGCTTCCTTTCTTGTACACTACTTTCAAAATCGTTACCGGCCCCTATCGAGTAGGAGGGCAACTGCTGATGATTGACAGCTTATCAACCAATCACAGCTTAGCACTCCTCCCAGTTCCGGTTCTCCTTGAAAGAGAAAACAAATACCAGTAGGTGTTATCTAAATGTTTATTTAACTTTGTTACAAATCCTTTCTGCGTTTTGATGACACAGTTTGATCAGTTTTGAAAAGGATTTCCTTGTTTGTATATATTCTTCAGTGACTTTTGGTTGTATAAATACACAAATAAAAAAAAAAAATTCAATATGTAAACACAGTATGTTAATGGTTTGCTTATGATGGTATATAGATCATAAAATCACATGTGGATTCATGACAGAATACTTGTTCCTCAATCAAATTACATTTTAACAGTATATATATATATATATATATATATATATATATATATA